CCTGCTAGGATATTATTAGGTAAAAATCAGGGTAGCCTGCTAGATCGGAAATCCCAAAAGAACGGTCTAGGCAAAAGATAAGGCAAAAGCCCCCTAAAAATATTCTAGGCAAAAAATTAAGGCAGCCCGCTAGATCGAAAACCCGTAAAGGGCGGTCTAGGCAAAAGGTAGGACTAAAACCAAAAGATGAATAAAAGATGAGCCCATCATTATGGTCATAAAGGAAGAGCCCATCGGCGTATTCATAAGAAGCCAACGGGAGAAGGCCAGTTACTTTCTAAATGCATCAAAAATAAATAAACGAATAGATTGCATTTAGGACAACCACACACAAAGTAGTTGCATAATACGACTTTGTCAAAATCAAGAAAAAATATTTTTTGTTCATATAAGAATAATAAACATGCACATAAGGAGTCTAGTCTTCATACTTGTGATTGAAAACAGGAGGCGCTAGAATCCAATCTCCATATGAAAATCAAAATCGCGAAAGGCGAAATCAAAATCACTTTAGCAAAATAAGGAGCTCCAAAAAAAATAAGCTCCATCCATTCTCCTTCTACCTCAATAGAAGAAGGTGTACATCAACACAGAAAGGCCAAAGGAAAGGCTTGACCATCCCCAAGAGGATCCTTGCCTACTCCAAAGGCAGAACAAAAATTCTTCATGACTCAGCATTATCACATGAGTCGTCAAACATATTCATTTGAAGCTTCAATCAGCATCCTTCCATCCAAGAAGAAGGAAACCATCAAAATAGAAAAGCCAACGGACAGGCTTGATCATCCCCAAGAGGATCCTTGCCTACTCCAAAGGCAAAACAAAAAGACTACCTCACGACTCAGCAGCATCACCACATGAATCATCAAGCACACTCATACAAGAGTCTCCGCTTCATTCTCCAAAAGGAGAATAAGGACTACACAAGAGTCCATCAAAGAAAACACGAAGTCAAATCCTCCATATCACCAGGGGGCAACAAAAAGAAAGAAAAGAAAAACTTTTCATTCCCTAATAGAGGCCACTACAGAAAAAGGCCAAATAAATGTCTCCGAGTAGAGCATATCAAGAAAAGTCTCCAAAAAGAGAAAAAGAAGAAAATTTCTTCATTCCACTAAAAAAAAAAAGAGCCTCACAAAGTCAGGAGCTCAAAACTCCATTGAATCCCCAGGAAGTCAATAAATTCCCCTGGATCGCCAAAAGAAGAAAAATCTCTTCACCCAGTTCGAATAAGAGCTTCTCAAAAAGCCAGGAGACCAGACTCCGTCAAACCAAAGGCAGATCCCCAGGAAGCCAGTAAATTCCCCAGGGTCGCTAAAAAAGAAAAAAAACAAAAAGAGAAAAAGAAGAAAATTTCTTCATTCCGCTCAAATAAGAGTTTCTCAAAAAGCCTGGAGCCAAGACTCCGTCAAATAAAAAATTGGATCCCCATGAAGTCAATAAACTCCCTGGGATCGCCAAAAAGAAAAGAGAAAAAAAGAAATCTTTTCATCAAAAAACCAATGTGCATAAAAGGCGCACACATCTTCAAAATCAAATTGCCAAATCGCGGAAAAATATAATCACGAGAAAAAGTAAAAACCCACTCTCTAGCAGGAATAAGAGCATAGGCGAAGCCAGCTCAAAACATCAGGAGTCAAAAACTCCATTCTTCCCTAGGAAGGCAATTCAACATAGATCTTCGGAAAAACGATCAAATCCCTAGGAGATCACCAAAAAAAGAAAAAATCCCCAGCAAGCCTACCAAGTGAAGGCAAAACTACAAATTCATATCCTCAGGGAATCACATATAAACTCCCAAATACGGATATCCCCCAGCGAAATACAAAGCCTTCACTTCTAACAGGCAAGCAGAAAGCTAAATATCAAACGAGAATCAACAAAAATCCCCGGCAAAGCCGGATGACTAAAACCAAAAAGTCAAAAAGAAAAACAAATCATTCCCCACGGAATAGGCGCATGATCAAAGACAGTAAGCCATCGACACTTCTCCAAAAAAAACCGATAAGGGTTTGAACTCAATCAAAAGATTGAATGAGAGCATCTCAAAGAGCCTAACCAAAATGCAGGTTCGCACCCAGTGGGGGTGTAAAATCCACTAGAGCCTAGTCAAGATGCAGGTTCGCACCCAGTGGGGGTATAAAAACCACTAGAATCTAGCCAAAATGCGGATTCGTACCAGGTGGGGGTAGGTACCCACAAGAGCCTAGCCAAAATACAGGTTCGCACCCAGTGGGGGTGTAAAAACCACTAGAATCTAGCCAAAATGCGGATTCGTACCAGGTGGGGGTAGGTACCCACAAGAGCCTAGCCAAAATGCAGGTTCATACCCAGTGCGGGTGTAAAAACCACTAGAGTCCAGCAAAATACGGATTCGTACCCAGTGGGGGTGTAAAAACCACTAGAATCTAGCCAAAATGCGGATTCGTACCAGGTGGGGGTAGGTACCCACAAGAGCCTAGCCAAAATGCAGGTTCGTACCCAGTGGGGGTGTAAAAACCACTAGAGTCCAGCAAAATACAGATTCGTACCATGTGGGGGTAGGTACTCACCAAAACCTTATAAAATAAGGTTTATACCAGATGAGGGTAGGTACTCATCAAAACCTAGCAAAATGCATCCGGTAGAGTAAAATACTCACCAGAAGCATTACAAAAAACGGGTTGCAAAAGACCTTGCTTCTATTAGAGGATAGTTCAGTGTTGAGCACCTCGGAAGTAAGCACCCATAAGAGTTTAGCAAAATGCGAACTCATACCAGGTGAGGGTAGGTACTCACCAAAACCTTGTAGAACAAGGTTCATACCTAGTGGGGGTAGGTACCCACCAAAGTCTAGTAAAATACAGACTTATACCTGGTGAGGGTAAGTACTCACCAAAGCCTTATAAAAGAAGGCTCAAACCAGATAGGCGTTAGTACCTATCAAAATATTTATCATCCGGAGGATCAGCAAAGGAGTAGCATCCGAAGGATAACCGGGCAAAAGGGTTAACTCCTTCCCCTGCCAACTAATGTTGTCGGTATATTAAACCAACAAATTAGTTAGGCAGGTGAAGGGGGGGCAGCTGTAGACCCCTAATTTCGCCCGGCCTCTCAAATAAAAGCTAGGGAAACTTCACACGAAGATAAAGTTCACCCGACTTCCCAATAAAAGAAAAGAAGACCTCTCGCAACAAGACGGAGCTCACCCATCCACACAATAAAGGCTAAGGAGACTTCCTATACGAAGATAAAAGCTCGCCCGACATCTTAATGAAGGTCAAGAAGACTTCCTATATGAAGATAAATCTTCAACGGACATCTATCGGTATCAATCTACGTCCGAAAAAGGAAAGGAAAGCTTCCCGGGGGTCCCAGAACACGAAAACAGGCCAAAACAGGTTCGGACAGCCGTCCCAAATTTGGGAAAGCCGTCCCAAACATCATGGGACAAGTGAGACGCGCGTCTCACATTTGGGACGCACGTCCCAAGCTAAAACTTTCAAATGGGACGACCGTCCCAACACAGACGGCCATCCCAAAATGCCAGGCAGCGAAAACTATAAATAGGAGGCTCATTTGCTCATTTTCCACACCCCAGACAACTCCAAGACTTGTCTTCTTCTCTCCCTACTTCGAATGATCTCTCTGATTGCCTTTAATAGGTAACAATCAGTTAAGGAATTCTATTCCGGCATTCGATTCTTCAGTAAAATTTTAGTCGAGTCGATAGGGAAGTCGAGAGGAGAGTCTTTGTAGAGCGAGGGACTGCCGAAACGCGTCCTCTTTGTAAAAGGAGTTATAATACAAAGCTTGCTACGGAGGTTCTTTTCAAATCTCTTCTCTTTTACTGCTTTATTTATTGTTTTATGTATGCAATGTAAATAAAATCATGTAGATAGCCATATTTAAATACTGTACGAATAAAATAGGGTAATAGCGTAATTTCTCGTAATCTTCACTTAAATGAATTAATCCGTCATAGGGAACCCGAAAGGGGCGTTGTGAGGTGCTAACACCTTCCCCACATGTAACTAACTCCCTTACCCAACTCTGGTTATAATGGCCAAGTTTGGTTTTTATTAAATCAACGCCTTTTTATCCTTTTCCAATGTTTCCGGTCAAAACATTGGTGGCGACTCCAGAAGAACCCTTTTCGAAAACCTTGCTTCTATTAGAGGATAGTTCAGTGTTGAGCACCTCGGAAGCAATGAACATATTTTAAACAAAAAACGCGAGTGTAAACCATCTTTTCGCGACCGCTCGCATAAACGTTCGAGATGTCCTTTGGAAGTCGGAACGGACGGCGACGACAGTGTTGACCCTATTTTCATCAGGATTCTAGTCCATTTTTGGAACTCTAGTCTGCACTGCTTCGAATTCCCGCAGTTCGATATGGTGCCCACTTTAGAGGAGTATAAGATTATGCTAAAATGGTCCAAGTCAGCCGGGGTCTATATTTGCCATGAGGCATATACTCCTGCAGCCCAAGTCGCTGCCATCATTCGATTGCCATCTCGGCAGACTACCCTGATAGCAAAAGGGAATGTCCAGGTTTGGAAAGTCTCGATGTTAGAAGACCATCTGTCCTCTTTGGCTGAAAGAGCAGACTGGTCTACTTTTAACAAAACCCTGGCTTTGATTGTGTTTGGGACTATGTTGTTCCCCTTCCACCTTGACACAGTGGATCAAGCTATCATGGACGCCTTCTTCGCCTGGGACGTGAACTTGAAGAGTCCCTTGCCTGCACTTCTTGTCGACACCTTGCTTGTGGTGGAATTCTGTCACCAAAAGCAAGGGAGAACACTCAGATGTTGCTCTTCACTGCTATTCGTGTGAGGTATCACACATTTCTACGCCTCCAGTCACATGGGGATGTTCTCCGACCCTTTGAAAAGCTTCTCTAGAATCCCTCTCCACCGACGGCTAACCATGGAGTGGAAGGTCGAGTTGGAACAATTGGATGCCAATCGTTTATCTTGGGCATGTCCTTGGTTCTGACCCGACCCAATCCTCATCAGATGTGGGGATTATCCGAGCATACCGTTAATAGGCCTCAAGGGTTGCATAGCCTATTCTCCAAAAGTGGCTATGAGACAACTCATGAGGACCCAAACCGCATTATCACGGGAAGAGCTCGGAGGACTGTGCTTCTTCGGAGACCCATGCACTGTTGCTAATTCACTTGCTGTACGAAGAGCATGGGAGAAACCAGTCTTCATGGGAGATAGAGAGCTAGGAAAAGCTCGAGTATCTGTCTCTAGTGAATACGAGGAGTGGAGGAGAAATAGAGGGATGTCACAACCATCCGCCCCACCTACTGCGCCTTCAACCAGTGGAGATCTTCAAAGCCAAGTCAATGCCTTGACCTAGAGGATAGAAATCATGGGAGACCAGATAAGGGCCTTTGAGGAAAAAGAGCAAGAATCTATCCTCACCATAGATAGTCTATAGAGACAATGCAAGAAGAAAGATCATGAGATAGAGCGCCTCAAGGACTAGTGTGCTGATTCCAGTGAGCAGGTTATCCGAGCATCCAAAGAATCAGCTCAGATAACCAACTTCAAGAAATAATCGCCAAGTCAGCACGCCTTGAGGCTGAATGTGCAAAATAGACTCAGACGGTCAAGGGGTTGCTACAAGACCTCCCAAGGACTGAGTCTGAAATACGTCAAGGATGGGAGACTACCCAGAGACTTAACAGAAGCCTTACTGAGCTACGCTGCAAGGAAAGAGACAGATTAGCTTAGTATGGCCAAGTGCTTCGAGAAAGAGACTGAGCCCTTGAGAAACTCGATGAGTTACAAGCCTTGGTCGTCCATCAAGAGGCGAAGATCAAAGAGGCTCAAAAGTACAGCGAAGATATGAGCCAGGCGGTCCACAAATAGACCGAAGCACTTGCCCAACACGTCCGGGAAGCCGAAAAGGAATTACATAGAAATCAGAACCCGCCTGTGGGTTTCTTTAGGCTTTTCCGTTTCTGTCAAAAAGTGCTTCATAGCATGGTGTAGGGGAATGTACATTTTCTACGAATAAATAAAAATTCCTTTTATTCAACAATTGTCTACTTGCATGCATTTCATTCATTTGCATATTTGTTTTCCCCTCCTTCACTTTTAATAAATAAGATAATAAAAAGGAAGGATTAACTGATACATCTTCCAATTAGAAGGATGGAGAGAAAGTCGCTCATAATCAAGCTCTCCCCAACAGTCGATTCACCACAAGAGGATAATAAGCCTCGACCGTTGGTTATCAAGGTCAATAAAGAAGAGGGGACAAGGACGCCTGTGCGATTATTTGTGCCTCGTCCCTTCCCGTATGAATCGAATAAAGTTGTACCGTGGAGATACGGGGAATCTTCACCAATAAAGGAAGTCATCTCCAACATAGCAGACATTGGGGGCATGACCAGAAGCGGAAGAATATACTCCCCCAAAGAGTTACAAGAAGACACCCTCAAGAATAAAGGGAAAAATAAACAGACCGAAGAAAAAGAAAATAAAGGATCCAAGGAGGAGACCGATGAATTACTCCAGTTCATAAGGCAAAGTGAGTATTCCATCATCGACCAGCTCAATCATACACTTGCAAAGATAACTTTGTTATCTCTAATGATGAGCTCAGAACTGCACAGAAACGCCCTGATGAAGGTCTTGAGCAAGGGGCATGTACCTCATACTATATCCCAGGAAAAAGTTGAGAGGATCATCGGTCACGTCACGGCTAGCGATTACCTCACCTTCACAGATGAAGACCTCCCTCCATCCTTGAACGTGATGCCCAAATGCACACTTGACAAGTTGACTATTCAAGGAACCCGCATGCGCCCAAGTAACACTATCGTTCGAGCCTTCAACGGATCTAAACAAGAAGTAGTGGGGGAAATCAACCTGCCAATCCAAGTCAAACCCACTATCTTTGTAGACCCCTAATTTTACCCGGCTTCTCAATAAAGTCTAGGGAGACTTCCTATAACAAGATAAAGTTCACCCGGCTTCTCAATAAAGGCTAAGGAGACTTCCTATAAACAAGAAAAGTTCGCCCGGCATCTCAATAAAGGCCAAGAAGACTTCCTATATGAAGATAAAGCTTCAACGATAGGAAATTTGATTTGATGAAGTCAAAGATCTCATTTGATTTGATGAAGTCAAAGATAGAGTCAAAGGTCAACTCTGCAGCAGCCAACAAGTCACTCAGATAATTGAGCTGAAGATTTATTGTGTCTAACAGAAAGCTTAGGTAAAACCACTTTACCTTTTCCACTGCATAATGGTTCTTCACTCATCTTGCAAAATGCCTCAAAAATAGTTTTAAACAAATTAAAAACAAAAGCATTTTGACAAAAACTTTCTTAATAAAGTTATTAACTGATATAGCTTTGAAAGAAACGATTAAAATCACTTAGAATGTTTAAAGAAGTGTTTTTACAGCATTTTAATCGATACAAAACTCTTTTAATAGATTAAAACCATTCAGAATACATTATGACCGATCAGAATTCAAATATGACTGGTCAGAATCAGAATTGATCGATCAGATTTGAATTATGAGCGATCAGAATTTTTTCAATCGATTAAAACACGTTTTAATCGATTAAAATCACTTGGAAGTCAGGATGATCGATCAGAATGCAATTATGATCGATCAGAATTGGTTATGATCGATCAGAATTGAATTATGACCGATCAGACTTGTTTCAATCGATTAAAACGTATTTCAACCGATTAAAATGACTTGAAAATTTATGTGCAGGTTTTCAATCGATTAAAAACTTGTTTATATCAGCTAAAATAACTTGGAAAGTTTTATAAGAAAGTTTTGAAGCAAATCAATCGATTAACACGCGAATCAATCGATTGAATCACACTTAGAAAATGTTTGTAAAATGTTTTAACTGATAAAAACGTGGTCGTATCAGCTAAAACAATTCTGTTAAAGAACAAGAACACATTAATGGGTTGAAAGGACTTTTAACAGATTGTAACGACTATTTCAACAGATTAAAACAAACTTTCAACAGATTAATTAATGCAGCAGTTTCTGAAAACTCTTTTAAAAACAGAATTGCTTGGAACTTTTAACATATCAGTTTTTACATATCCTAAGCAATCAATTCAAGCAACTGTTAAGCATCCTTTTCAAGAAAGATACGCAACTGTTTTGTGAACTTCTTTTGAAATCTTTCTTGAGGCACATTGCATTCTTTGAAGAAGAAACTTACTGTGGATTAGCGTAATCCGGTTTGAGCTTTCTAAGTTTCTTCTTTTCAATTTCTATTCATTCTTTTGTACTGTTTTGTACCTGGAATTTGGGTACAAGTTTTCTGCAGCTGTTTGGTGGTTGTAGAAGTTTCCAAGAACTGGAATTTGGTTCTTGGTGGGAAGGTTAAAAGCAGGAACTGGAAATTGGTTATGGTGTTAGAATAGGTGTAAGAGTGTGAGTCTGTAAAACATCTATTCTAGTGGAACCCAGCTGGAATTTGGCTGGAGACTGGACGTAGCCCTGGTAGTGGGTGAACCAGTATAAAATTACCGGTGAAATCTTTCTTAACCTTTCTCTCTTTAATTTCAGTTGCTGCGCTTATATTGTTTGATTGCTTTGTGATTCTTGAATTGATTAGTAAACTTAATTTTCGGATTAGATAATCTGTATTTTGCGAAAAACTTTCAAAGATCAATTCACCCCCCCTCTTGATCTAAAACTACTTTTCTAACAATTGGCATCAGAGCAAGGTGCTTGAAAGTTATTCAAGTCTCTTGATCCATGGCTGAGAACAGGTTACCATTTTCTGAGGGGGCATCTATTAACGAGACCTCCACTATTACGTGGAACAGATTATCCTTTTAGGAAAATTAGGATGAAAATCTTCATTGAATCCATTGACGAAATGCTTGGGATGTTATTACTAATGGTCCTCTAATTACAGATAAAGGATGGTCCAGCTTGAATGATGAGGAGAAGAAGAAAGTTCAAAGTGACTGCAATGCAAAAAATATAATTACTTCTGCTCTTAACATGGATGAATTTTTCAGGGTGTCCCAGTGCAAATCTGCCAAGGAGATGTGGGATGTTCTTGAGGTCACCCATGAAGGGACAATAGATGTTAAAAGAGCCAGAAAGCATACATTGATAAGAGAATATGAGTTGTTCAAAATGCAGAATGGTGAAAGCATCGCAGATGTGCAAAAATGCTTCACTCACATCATCAACCATTTAATGGGCCTAGGTAAGACCTTTGATAAGGAAGAATTAAATATTAAAGTGTTGAAATGTCTTGATAGGTCCTGGCAGCCAAAAGTCACTGCAATATCAGAATCAAAAGATCTGTCCACCATGACAACAACCTCACTGTTTGGAAAACTCAGAGAACATGAAATGGAAATCACAAGATTCAATGAACAAGAAGTATCTGAGAAGAAGAACAGAAGCATTGCACTTAAAGTTGAAGAAAATCAAGAATCAGAGGAAGAGAATGAGAACCTTGGACTGCTTGTTAGGAAATTCAACAAATTTCTCAAGAAAAAGATCCAAGACAAAGAAAGACATAAAAGGTATGAGAAAAAAACTGATTCTTCTAACTTTAAATGCTATGGTTGTGGCAAACAGGGCCATGTCAGAATGGAATGTCCAGAGAGAAATAAACAAAGTGAGAAGAAAGAGGAAAAATAAAAAAGAAGAGCCTACATAGCCTGGAATGACAATGATACTTCATCAACAGATAATTCTGACAATGAAGAAGCCAACCTTTGTTTAATGGCAAGTCAAAATCCACAATCCAGCCAGGTAAGTTCTAGCTCCTCTTCAAATTTGGTCAACTATGATGCATTACAAGAAGCATTTAATGAAATGCATGAAGAGGCTAAGAAACTTCAAAAAGAAAATGATAGACAAAAAGGGCTAAATAACTGGCTAGTTAACAAAGTTGATTCTCTGGAAAAACAGATTCGTGAAAATGAAACTAATAATGACTTCTTGAAACTGATTCATGCTAACTCTGATTGTGAATGCAATAAACCATGCAAAAACTGTTCTGAATTGCAAAAGAAAATTGAATTCTTATCTCAAACTGTTTCAAAGTTCACTCAGGGGCAAGCTAATCTTGATGTATTACTTGGATCTCAAAAATTAATTTTTGACAAAGCTGGAATAGGCTTTAAATCCAGATCCAGTAAAACAAAAACAAATAGGAATTCATACTCTACAATCAAATGTTTCTACTGCATGAAGAAAGGGCATTCAGTAAAATACTGCAGAATTAAAAAGTATGCTATTCCTAAAGGGAGAATGAAATGGGTTCCAAAGATTAATTCTTTCCAAATAACCTGATCAGGACCCAGTAATTATAAAGGGTACCAGAACAATTCTTAATT